GTGCCTGCTGGTGGCAGGAGGGTCACTTACTTGTCAAGCCTACCTTAGAGGGAATGTGGAGCTTGCTCGCACCAAGACCACACCTGGAGGAGACATCACCCCCAGCACCCCAGTGCCACATGCCCAGCCAGGCTAGCCGGCTGCAGGTCCTGCTTCATTTTGCACAGGCTCACAGCTGCCCTCTGACCCAGGATTCGCTTTGCAAAGGTGAATGCTGAGGCCGGGCAGGAGGGATATCCTGCCCAGGGCCACCTACAGCCAATCAGAACTTTGGCCAAGGATGTGCCTCCCAGACAGTTCAGAGGAGCAGGGTGGGACAGGGTAGACAAAGGGATGGGTAAAATGGGAGAGCAGATGGGCACAAGGGCTGGACAGTGTTGGATGAAGATTGGGTATTCCAGGGGTCCATGGGAGGTGAGCTAGGGGGACAGGGACAGCACAACGGACGGGATGATGGACGCTGGGCCTGCGCTTAACATCTTGAGCATGTGGTCAGGGGAGGAGTCTGGGGTGTCTCCCAGGCCTGGAGTATAGGAAGCCCCTGGGCTGAGAAGAGAGTGTTGCCCTCTCAGGGAGTGGGGCCATCCTCATTCATGGTGCCTCAGTTTCCCCATTGAGGGGAGGAACATAGAGCTGAAGGGCTACTAAGAATCATATGAGATCCCAGCATAGCAACCAACCCTGCCACCCCTCCCGTTACCATTATTTTTAGGTCCTGGATGTCTGGGATCCTCAGAATGTCACAAATATAACATGGGAAACTTGATGTGCAGGTGCAGTTTGGGAAATCATTGCTTTCCGTCACAGTCTTCAAAGAGCCCATGGCCTAACAGGCTCAAATCACACCATTCACCGACCAGGGGCAACTGAATTCTTACAGACATGAGGTCCCTGCACTTGCAAGCACCCCAAAACGAGGTTCATAGGGAAACAGTTGGCGAGCACCCAAAGAGCCCAGGTGGTTGCCCATTACCTCAGCGCCAAACCACAGCTGGCCAGCCAGGTTGTCATGCCGGATCTCCTCGGGGAACTTGACACAGAAATCCCGTGGGGCGCGGTCCTGGGGGATGCACTCGTCCATGATCTGGTTAATGATGTTTAACACGTTATCCTGAAACAGAGACAGAGCGCGAGCTCATCGCCACGTCTGGCTGGTGGCTGCCGCGTACTGCTCTGCACAGCGAGCATTTGACTTTGGAATCCTGGGATTACGAAAGCGCTACCGTGACACAGTCACACTCGCTGCACAACTGCTACAGAAAGTTCCAAACTCCGGAAGTATCTAGAGCAACCTGTATATTCTCTGCAGTGCTGGTGTGCTTTGTTTATTCAACGACTCTTAGTCAATGACAGGCTTTCCCTGTCACCATGCAGGTTTCACATCACCCTTGGAACAGCAAGGATTGCGCATTCCTTCCAGGAAGAGAACATCCTTCTCCTCCAGCCGACACCCAGGCTCCCCGCAGCTTTGCCTCTGACTGTCCCCAAGCATCTGTCTCTGAACACCCATCTATAAATTCCTTAGGACAGAGCTCGAGAAATAGGTTGGCAGACACACATAAAAATTCGATTTCCGCTGCCAGATTGCTGTGTCGCCTTATTAATATTACAAGCTTGTGTCACGCTAGGTTTTCACAACATTGTCAGGCAGCATCTGCTGTCAGAGTGACGTCACTAAGAGACGCTCTGTGAAACAAGCCCTGCTCAAACCTGCCCACAGCAGGGACTCCAAGTCCTGTCCTTACAACGGAGTCGGCATCCCTGTGTAAGCAGCGGCCTCTCCCAGCACCAGTGTTGGCCAGAGCCGTGGGGTCAGGCAGATTCTCAGTAAGCTGGGGTCTCAGGCAAAGCCTTTATCCTCTCTGAACTTCAGTTTACTCCTCCTTAGAATGAGGGGCACAGACCCACGTTTCAGGGTCAGATGAGACAAGTTAGCTGGGTCATGAGCCTTCATCTGGGTCACATCCCTTCCCACTCCTGTAAGTCCATCCGCACTGAGCAAGCACCAACTTCAGACAGAGGCCCTGACTGCCCTTCGTGGCTCTACAGTTGACTGGGATGGACCCTCCACTGAGATTCCTAAGTGGCCGGGAGAGCCACGGGAGCTAAAGTCACATGAAGTCACTGACTTGCTGGCTCCATCCTGGCCCACGGTGAGCCTTAACATTCAGTAACTTTTGCTTTGAAGATCCTTTAAAATAGTTTTACTTTATTTCTTCATGCTCAAAATATAAAATATAATAGACTGTTTTAAATACTGTGTACAAGGAAAATAAGCCTATTTCATCACACGTCTTAAATACATTCTGTCCTTTTCTTTAAAATTGTCCTATTCTTTAAATACTGACCGTTCATTCCATGAGTTACAAGAATATTGAAAGTTTATTTTTTCCCTTTATTGGTTAAATATAAAACTAATGCACATTCATCATGGGAAAAGCGAAGCAGTGGAAAAGTACGGAAGTAGGGCAAATGTCCTTGGGGAAATACTGCTGCAGGTCAGAAATCATTTAGGTCCATTTTTTAAAAATTATTTTATTTAACTTTATTTATTTATTTATTTATTTAAATGTGACAGAGAAAGACAGAGAGAGAGTGAGAGAAAGTGAGAAAGCAAGCCATCAGGTCCAGGACTTGAACCATGGTCGGCCATGTGGGAGTCCAGCATCCTTAACCACCACGCCACCTGCCAGCCTCCATTTAGGTCCATTTTTGTGTCACTATCAGAGATACCTGCGAGTAGGTGCTTTATAAAGAAATAAGGGCTTAGTAACTCAAAATTCTGGGAGCTGGAAAGTCGGAAGACACAGGCTAGCATCAGGCTGGCC